AAAAAAGTAAAATTCCAACTCCTACTTTTGATTGTTTGGACTATAGTGGTGAAGTCAAATGAAAAAAACAACGTGATTCTCCTCTAAGGGGGAAAAAGCAATGTTTCAGGCATGTATACTTCACTCATACTTCACCAGTATTTCACCAATCCAGTACTGTTGCAAGGAATGTCACAAACTATTTGTTAATTGAATAGGAAAAAGTAATATTTTATCTATAAAATATACTTTTTCAGTCACCATACTTTTCGTTTTTCTATTTCAATTTAAATAAGAGAATTATTAAATAAACAATCATGTGGTATAATATTTCTCTGTTGCAACCAGCGCTCATACGAAGATGCTGGCGTTTTTTATTTTTTATTCTACAGCAATATTCTACAGCTCACACGTCAAAGAAATTTAGCAGTGTATTGCATCACTGAACTTATATGGGATCGAATTATCCTGTTAAATTTGAAAAAGTGCTTCGCACCTGAGAGATTAGTGTAAACAACTCTATGATATATTGAAATTCTTGTTACTAAGCAGTAAATTGCATCAGTAGACTCAAGATGAATGCTATTATTTTACTGTTCTTATAATAATATTAATAAATACTATTAGATTCTAAAAATGTTCTTAGAAAACTTCGACCATTTAACAAGTCCATTCATAATTATTCCAGATATTCATTTAACATTAACTGTTTCACTGTGTTATATTTGCTTTTCATCTATTCTTGATTTTCATCTCTCACCCTCCCCTTGAGGTTTCGATTCATTCCTATCTGTTCTCTTGTGACAGTTTATAAAAAAATATATCGAGCGATTAATGACGATAAAATTGTCGATTTTGAGGACCTAGGGAGTCATTTATTTTCCTTCTTCTGATCACAAGCCAATATCAATATGTCAACAGTAGAGAATCGTCCATCCAATCTTCCATCATCATCAAAACAAAATAGCACTGCGTCTTTAACGTTGCATATAGATTAACAATTACTTTCGTTTGATCATTTTATTCTCAAGCAACGAAGCCATACTAAGAGAAAGATATTGATTTTGTGTTAAGGAAGAATGTGAAGTATTTATTCATGCAAATTTGAGTGATAAGATCAATGCAAAAGAGTTATTGATTAGCTAAAATAAAATCAAGTTTATGATGTTCCTTGGCTCTTCAATGAGGTTCGATAGCAGAAATATTGTAAAGATGAAGGAAAAAATTTAAGACAAACTTCAAGTTAACTGATTATGCCTTACCCAGCGAGCTTGAGAAACGCTATTTTGCCGTTTAAACGGTCGAAACCACTCATTCTGTCTGGGAACGGTGATAAACGGCAAGAAAAACCATTATCATCACTTTTGTCACCGTTTTAACCTTCAGCCAGTGTTTTTTTAGCGTTATTCGTATTAAATAACCTTTGAAACTGTTTATAACTCGATATTATTTTCGTAAAAGATCGTGAGAAGTGTTTATACTCATGCTTTTATTTATTGAAAACTATTATAAATGCTCAAAGTAGTCCAAGCTTTTCTATTCAAATTCTGTTTCTTTTAGTTATTTTTATTCTGATGAATTTGTACTTTTGATTGTTCAAAAGTGTGTCTGCAAGACATTTAAGTAATTTGAAATTTTCATGTGTCTTCGCTACCTGACTAGTTAATTCAGAAAAGTCTTTTGCTGCAGATGTATTGCATGTAAAAAAAGTTTCTTTCTTCATAGTGAGATTTTTTATAATATTTACATCATATCGATCAAAATCATATGCTGGTGCGGAAATTGAAATAGCGAAAAAATACATATGAAGAGTCCATGGTACTCGATGTTAAACTTTCATGTTGAAATCCTAACTTTTCTATTACATTTGACGTCCGAATCATATGATAAGTCGCACGTTTCCTAATATTCCCAAACATAACATTCTTGCATTGAAGTGTTTGGCCACCAGTTAATATCTGATCAGCACCTGATCTAATTGAAACCTGTTGTATAATAAACAAAATATCATTGTTTGTTGTAAGCTGAACAATACAATTTAAAAATCCAACGAAAAAATTGTTGGAGCCATTCATTTTGTATAAAATGCAGCTGTCATTAATAACGTTATCGAAAGTATGGTCTTCATTACTAAATCTGACATTATTGATAAAAGCTGTCTTGTATATAATATATGAATTATGTGCCCATTTTTCAGCAAGAAGCGCATCGAGGTCGCGTGTAGGGTGTGGGTGGGTGTGGCTGTGGCTGTGGGTTGGGTGTGGATGTGGATGTGAGTGTTAGTAAATAGTAAACAATCACACCCACACCCACATCAACACTCAAACCCGGACCTTCACCCACACCCATACCCAAATGTTGTAGTTACATGTAGCAAATCTGGAAAATTAAATACTTCTTTATTTGAATATTGGATCCGAGAGGTATTAAACAAGGTGACAAACAGTCGATTTCTCCTATTGATGGATCAGTGGTCTCCGCATACCGACATCACAGCTTACGAAAAAAAATTGAACAAAGGACAAACATGTAAATTAATGATGATGCCCGGAAAAACGACATCAACTAAATAGCCATGTGATGTTTATTTTTTTCGCCAGTGGAAAGAATTAACGAAAAGAATATATCATCGTGTGGCCCTGGACCAGCTGGATGTTGATTTGAAAAATCGTGATGCTATCATCAAACTACAAAGCCTAGTCCACAATCAACTCAGTTCGGCTATTTTTCGGCCGTTGATTTCATTTGCATGGTCAAGTTGTGGTTATATTCCACAGCGATATCCAATAGGTATGCACCAGTTCCAGTCATGACTGGGTCATCAATCATTTAGTCTTTAATTTATAACATGCATAATATCTCCCTCTTTCTTATAATATTATAATAAACTCATCATAACCTATTAGAGCACTAATACGAGTTATATCATAGAATTAATAATCAATTATTTCCATGATATGAGGCGTATTAGCTCTTTAATAGGTTAAGATGAGTTTATGATGATCGGATAAGAAAGAGGGAGGTATTATTCATGTTATAAATTAAAGATAAAATGATTGATGACCCAGTCATGACTGGGTACCCAGTCGGACTGGTACCCAGTCCGACTGGACTGGTGCATACCTAATATCCAAGGTTTTCGAATATTATAGAAGTTTGTTTTTCTTTCGAACTGGACAACTGTTCAGAGAGAAATTGTAATGAGAGTGCGTTTATTTGTTGTAGCCATTATAGACGAACATTGTGCTTCGAACATTTCTTTATTGTTTATCACTTTCATTGATTCTGTGCTATATGTTCTCTAAATAAAATGTGTGAAACAACAAACCAATAAGTAGTTATAGACGCAAATCATAAGAATCAGCAAGTCTTCAGCTCTAGATGTATAATCTGGTGTTGCTTCAGAATTATGGATGTTTTTCATGGTGTGGTATGTAAATAATATATCTACACGGTGAGAGCAGTGCTCCAACATACACAATAAAACATCTTTAGGAACTTCCTATCCTGTTAAGTGAAAATCTAGGGCCAAAAGTGAAATATTCAATGGTAAAATTTGATCTTTCTCATTCTAAATTGTATTAAACTTCCATAGCTCAAATATGTTTTCCCATAAGTAGATTTAATTGATTTACTTTAGTTCAAAACTCCATGGGGAAAAACGCTATATGCCACGAGAATCAGCTCATCGAGCTCTACAAATTGGCATATGTCCGATTCGAAACGGCTCGTCACACTTGCATACCTTCCCTCGTCAGATCTTGAAGAGAAGGCAATTATTTCTCTTTACATAATAGTATGACCTTAAATCTGGTTTGTCATAAAGCATGTTGATGGTAATTGTGGAAGTAACGATAATGAAAGAAACATCACGTTCACCTTAACTCTTAAGATAGTTGTGAATACAAAAAAATTTAGTCATAAAGTCAATAATGTATTATGCCATCTTGGATCTTGAAGAAACACGTGCAAGAAGTTGTTCAACTTTAAGTAAAATCGGATGATTAGAGTAGAGTACATGTCGGTAAATATTAACTGCTTTTTCGAGATATGAGACTGCCTGTTGCCATTCTTCTTTACTTTCATAAATGAGACCAATATTAGCCAATGTCATTGCAATATCCGGATGTTGCGAAGGCAAACATTTTTTCTTGATATTAAGTGACATATTTAAATGTTCCAAGGCAAGATCTAAATGATCGAGACCTAAATGTATTACACCAATATTATTATGTAGATCACCCATTTGAGGATGATTAGCAGGAAGATATCGTTGATAAATAACTAAAGCTTGTTGAGAATATTCAAGTGCCTCCGAGCTTTTCTCACACATTTGATAGATGCCAGCTATATTACTTAAACATTGACCAATATTTGGATGTTCTTCACCTAATGCTTGTTTCCAGATCTTCAATGCTTTCAAATAACACTCAAGTGCTTCATCATAATTATTCATTTTCGAATGAACAGCAGCTATACTATTATAACTAGTGGAAATTCTAGAATCATCCGCTTTGAAGATTTTTTTCATGATATCAAGTGCTTTATGATGCCAATCCAGACTTGACTCATAATCACCTTTATCATCAAATAAATTGCCAAGATTATGATAACAAGCACTAATATCTTCATAATCAGATGAATTTATATCATTTAATAAACGACGATAATATTTCTCTGCTTCATCATATTTACCCATTTGTGCTAATATCAAACCAAGTGAATGAATAGTTGTTTCACCATTTCCATATTGATCTTTCATATAATCAAAAACAGCTTGAAGATCAGGATCATTATTATTACATAATGTTAATCGAACGATCCATATTCCACGATCATTTTGATCAATACTAACAAGATAACGCTCGTCGCTACGACTCGCTTGACCCTCGACTGAGCGCTTTCTATTCATCTTGGAAGTCATTGTCAAAAAATTTGCCGATATATGTGATGCTACTGCTGCTACTATAACATTTGATTCTAACTAATTCTTTATTTTTTCAAAATAATATTTATTGTTGAAACTGGAGCATTCATTGTTCATCACGTATGTCCAAAAGATCAGAAAAATGTAGGACTGCTGCCCCTCGATTCATTAATTTTACACTCATATATGTGAAATATCTCACGAGCAATAGATCACTACCTGTTAGTCGTTAGCTTCCTGCTCATAGATTGGTTTCGATACATCTACAAACAAATGATTTACCTGTAAATAAGAGACGTTGACACATATCTCGCAGAAAACTATTTGATTTATAGCAAAATAATTCTTGATAAGAATGCTAACGAGAAGTTTCCGTCGTTAACTATCGGCTATAACTTCAATTTCAAGATATTTCTAAATGTTCCGCGTCATATCGAAATTTCTGCATATCACACTCTTAATGCTTTCACTATTAATTACAAAAGCAGGAAAGTAGAAATAGTTAAATGAACAAGGATTGGATACTGTAAAAAAATGCGTGCCTTAAATAAATTATACAGGCCAGCGACTAGTCGATCGTCGGCAGCCCTCTGAGGTGCCACTCATGGCTAGTCGCCACCATGTTTACATCTCCTATACCAATTAATCGTCCAATTCAGATTGCAATTCAATCAACTCTCATGGGACACTTTACGAAAGACTATTCTATTACTATAAAAAAAACTTCTCAATGAGAAATTTGAAACTAGATCTATTTAAAGAATGCCTTTGAGTAAAGTAACAAATGTCCAAGTTAACTAAGTGTTACCGTAGTATTTAATTGCTTCTTCTCTTTTATAACCAACGTTTAATGATATTCCACAAATGCATATAAATCGCTTCGCACTCTAATTCACAACATTTATATACAATTTGTTCAGTAATATTATTTGACGTTCGATTTCTATCGTTGCCGTTTGCGAAACAAGCCTTTAATGTTATATGAGCGTCTCAGTTATTTTTAGACTGGTTTTCAAAGCGATTATCTTTTCACTTTAGATCACGAAACATCCGCATTTTTTATCCACATAGAAGATATGTTAATACAAATGCGCTAACACATGCATTTCGTCAAATGCATGTTCAAGATGTTTCACTTCTGCAGAAGAATTTTTTCTCGAAACTGATTTAGAGAAAAACTTGCTAGTTTTTGTCGCTTTTGCATATGATACCAATTGATTGAACCACAAAGATAGGCAATTTTTCTATGAACTACGACACTGCGAAGCTCACCCCCGATTAATGGTACAGACCAGCAACTACTCCTTCGTCGGCACCTCTCCGGGCGCCACTCATGGCTAGCCGCTTTCATAGTGACGTCTACTTCTCCGGTGCATCATCTTCTGTTTATACTTAGAATCTAGTCGATTTATGTTTCACTCATTGAAACAAATAGTTGTACTTATGACAGAAGATATGCAGACTAGAGAATTTCAAACACAAGGACACACAGCAACAGAAAAATTCATTTTATTTCATTCAATTTTGCTTGCGACAGTGTAAATATAAATTCTTTGCGTGCTGCTTTCTGTCTAATGTACTATTCAGATATAGTGCCCATACAGAAAAACTGTTTTCATACTTAACTTGAAAATATTTTTTTAGTTTTTTGCCGGTTCCGATCCTTAATGAAGCTCATCAAATTTAGATTCTTGGCATTTTTCCGATCAATCCTAAATAAAAATAATTTCTGACAACCACTTTGTAGCTAAGACTATTCTCTTTCTGACCATATAAATAGAAAATAACTTCACTTTGAATCTACCGATCAAATCTTGCAAAAACTATCTAAACATACACTTTGGCGATTTATGTCTCGACAGATTAATTCAATCTACTAAAGCCAATTTAAAGGCAAACGCGAATTTACTTTTAATATTCGATAGACCAAAGAGCGAGAAATCTTGTAAGAAAAAAGTTATATGAGTGTAACTTGAGAAAAGTCAGAAACGTTTTTTGTATATATTAAATAAGAAAATAATGCAGTAATAGAAACAATTTTTTTCCTTCTTTTTCAATTTTCAATTTAAATCTTGAAGAGATAATAGAATTTTCGACCTTGACTGTTATTAACAAGCTGGTAAGAGCAGTCATCATCAGTACAAATATTCAATAATCTAATCCATAAAATAATCTATAAAATGGATTAGATCAAAGATTTTAGATTATGGATTGGTTTTATAGACTGTTTTATGGATTAGATTATTGAATATTTCTACTGATGATGACTGCTCTTACCAGCTTGTTAATAACAGTCAAGATCGAAAATTCTACTATTCCTTCAAAATTTAAATCGAAAATTGAAAAATAAAAGGAAAACAAAATTTGTTTCTATTACTGCATTATTTTCTTATTTAAAAATGTTTTTTCAAGGACCTTCTGGATCAAATTAAAAACCAAAAATAAGCGGGAAGGATGCTACTTTTCTGTTAAACATCCCGACAGATTTTGAATTTTGTTTCTTTGATTTCTTGGTAACTATAGGAGTTAAGACCATGATTTTTTTACCCTTTTTAGATGACTATATGGTAAAACTGCGAGAAAACTTTCAGCTCTTAAGCACATATCCTTCGCGAGAAAATAGCATTTTACTCGAAAAATGTCCCGACAGATTAGAACGATAGGTATTTACAGAAAATATAATTTGATTTCAACTTATTTGACTTCATTCGACTTCTTGCAGACTGAGAGACGCCTTCAGACATCTACTAAATTTTCTGCTTAAGTTGGATGACCGTGATATTCGAGGATAAAATGAGTTAGGATGGAGCTGAAAATGTGAGGATGTCAGCCGCACCTTTACGCCCCTGAGATATGCATGTGTATGTGCGGATAAATTTCTGCATATGCTCATTCGATTCTCCTTTTCAAACCATTCGACTGGTACGTAATAACAATATATAAATACTCATATAGTGATCATATTTTGTCCAAATATTTCTGAACTATTGGATTTGATTGTATCGAAAAATCTCGGAAAATATGCACTTTTTAATAAAACTCAATTTTTTTTCCAAAACGAAACAAGAGAAAAAGAGTTTGAGATTGAAGGAGATACTGGCTCGAAGACTCTTATTGCATGAAATCGAGATTTATTGCTTGCTGAGAAAGAAGATAAATACGAATTTGGTCTTATGATCAGCTATATTTCTCTGATGTAGATAAAAAATGCAACATAAGATTTGAAGTACTAGCTTGACTCTTGATCCAATAAGTTTTAATTATTTTCGTCAGATGAGACGATGCATATTTTTTTGCACACCAGACTTATACAAATGATATACTTTGTTTCATCGCAGATTCTCTTGTTTTCTTCTAACCAAAATTAGCATCAAATCTGAAACGAAAGTTATAGGCTAGATTATGAACTTGAGAAATAGTCTTTTTAAAATTATCATAAAAGAGAAGACGATGAAATAATTTTGAAGCTGACTGTTTTGAAGCCGTACTTTTCTTGTCCTTTGTTACATTTGTGGAAACTAATTAAGAGTTCATCTCACTGTATTTGAATATGAAACAAAAACAGATTTCACATGCACTCGGTTGCCTGAACTTTGCTCGAATATTCAAGACTATCATCGGGTTCCACATTTCTTTTCTTTTTGTTTTTTAGCTGTCTGTTTTTTGTCGAAGACTCAATTGGCACCTGTAAGCTTTGCTTGAATTGTGAAGGTTGAGTGATATTTATTCTTTCACAGAAAAAAACCCAAGCCAGTCATCACTAACAATGAAACTGTTTGTCATGCCAGTTGAATTACTCAACAATATTCGGGTAAAATGATAACTCTCAACGAGAAAAGGCCAAATTAAAAATATGAGCTTCTGATGACTAGCCTAGGTCGAGTTATTCAGCTGTTAGGATACTGCCAATTTAGATATATTGGAACCACTCTAAAGTAACCACAATCTATTCTCACAGAAACTGGTTGATCGAGCTTATCAAGTTTTGCTCAAATTTCATATATGTTGTAGAGAGCACAGTTTTAAGAGTTTTGAAGCAAACTATTTCGAAAAAATATTGTTCTACTCTGGAGATACTCAAACTTTTCTAAGAGTACTATCGAGAAAACAAGTAAATTTGTTTTTAGATTTTTATCATAATCTTTTCTTAGAAAAGAATAAATTAATTTCGCTTAAAACTCTACTGTATATGCATCTCAGTTTGATGTATTCATCATACAAAAATGGGTTCAGATGAGTGATTATTTAAGTTGATCATACTAGTAGCTACAAGGTGAAATAGTCATTTTTCAGTATTTTTCAATAATGCTCCACAAGTCATTGATCAAACTCATTATTTTATGAAAGACCTTCTGAGCAATAGAAACTATCTAAGAGCCAATGCACGAAAGCGACCATACATTTACTAAAACACCTGCTCAATCGATGTCTCAGATTTCAATGAAAATTTGCCAGTATGTAGCCCTAAGTGAGTTATGAAAACGCTAAAAATGTCAGCTTCTAAAACCTTTCCTTTGTTAAGATATTCAATCCATAATAGAAGCACCCTCGGGTAAAAAACGACTATAATTGATGCAGGCCATATATATTGTATATTTCGCCATTCATCAACAGCAGGGTTTTTCGAGCTGAAATCTTGTAGGTATATACTACCATAAGTACCCTACATATTGGTACACTCAAAATCAATATTGGTCGTATTAGACAATATAGCGAGATTTCATAGGTTATAGATATCCTCTCTGCCTTGTGATCGGGCTTTCTATCGCTTATGAGCGATTTATGAGCTCCAGCTTTGGAACTA